CATTAAACATGTTTGTGGTTGTTACAGTAAAAATATCACTTTTTCAACTCTGATTTTGTGTTTTTTGTCTGATTTGAGATCAGTTGTGTTAATACAGTCAAAATGAAAACATGACTGCAGATTCAGACACGTGAGGTTGTGCTGAAAACAATGAGACCAAACAAGGCAAGTAAATAGTTTTTAAAGGTGAAATGTGGAGGAAACATCAAAAGTAGTCAAAGTCCAATTATATTCTAGTTAGTTACTTTCCCTAGTAATTAATTACTTTTAGAATCGTGTATCTCAGTTACTAACCCAGTTACGTTTTTGAAGAAGTAACTAGTAACTATAATTAATTACTTTTTCAAAGTAACTTGCCCAACAATTATACAATAGTTAAAAAGTTGGAACCCTGGTTGAGCACCCAGGTCACATTACACTGACAATCAAAGTGCCTCTAGCTGTAGATCAAAGGGCAAAATAATAAAACAAGAGGTGTTAAAACTGATGTATGAAAGCACTCTGCCTCAATATCACTGAGACGTCCAAATCCACTGTAACATTACAGCTCAGCAAAAAGCAAAGAGGCAGCAGCAGATATGCATTCTGATCAGGACTCAGAAATAGACGAGCTCCGACCACAGCTTCGGTCTCTGCAGGAACTCCGCTGGTGGTGCATATATGGCTCCGACACACTCCAACCTTCTCAGGAAATAATCTGACATCATCCTTTACCACTGATGTGTAAGATGAACTCCAAAAAAGGAGATGTTTTTCTTCTTTTTCCTGCCTGATTTAATTTAAGCGTAGCTGTTTCAAGACACAGCAGCAAATATCAGAGAGGGTTCGATTCGATTCAACTTAGCCTCAGACAGTCAGAAATATTATAATTCTGATCATTTATCAGTACTGACTTCATCAGAATTGTGAACATCACAGCAGATGCCTTTGTGTGAAAGTAACTGAGAATACAACACAGAAAAACATGAAGGAGATTTTCCTGGTCTGGCTTTTTATAGCAGAAAACCTTAAAAATATTGTTCTGCATATAAAGTTTAAATTTCTTCAGTATTGAACAACAGAAAAAACAGGCTTTCTTGTCCGAGGTCATTTAAGTGAAAAAAGAAAAAGACAGCAGCCACAGCGCTGTAAACAACAGTAGACTGGTGGGTAATGAGCGAATGAATAATACAGAAAACAGAGATTGGAGACGGAAACTGTTCTTGAAGTACAGAGAGAGAGAGAGAGAGAGAGCTAGCTGTGCATGGAGTGTGATTTTAATAGTCGTGGAAGCAAAACAGCAAAATTCATGAGGATATTGATCAAATGTGAAGCGCAGTTTGCTGCTTCTTTTGCTGCTGGCTCGGTGAATTTTGGTTGGAGAGACAAAACCTGCAGCTCAGAATCAGCGCAAAAAGACGTAAACACAGCGCGGACCGGACGCATCGGGATCGCTGAGCTCCGACAGCGTGTCCGTCTGCGGGCCGGCGGGTGAGAAAGCCGAGAAAGACAAAGCTGATTCTGATGCGTCGGGTCTGTGTTTACGTCTTTGTGTGGAGTCCGTGTACCTGCTCTCATCTGCTGTTTGGTTGTTGTTGAAATGGTTTTGTGAGCTTTAATCTGAGAATCTGGCGTTTCTGGCAAAACACAGTTATATTTAAAAGTCAATTCAGGATTTAATGAATTGATATCGCTTTATTCAAGCTACTCACCTCCCACTTCCACCTGCACTTTCAACTGGACCACGGCCAATCAGAGAGGTCCCGCCCCTTACTATCTCTGATTGGTTTAGTCCACGATAGGGGCAAAATGTGTCTGTTGTTGACCACAGGGAAGGTTGCAGATTTTTTTTTTTGTTACCCGAACAGTTGGTCGATGTAACCAAATATTTTTTTTTAGTCCCACCACTGAAAAATTTGGTCGCATTTGCGACCAAATTGGTCGCATTCTAGAGCCCTGTGTACATGGAAGAAGTGGGAAAGAGGGCTTTGTGATCCTATTCTGGAACACCAGGGTAGGATCACATCTGTGTGAAAATCAAATCTTAGGGTGTACTACAATTCACCAACACATCAAATTCACCAGGGAGGATATGAAAAGTGGCAGGTTGGCCTTCTTAGACTGTGATACTTCCATCAGTAAAGGGGGACATCTAAAAGCTGATGTGTACTGGAAACCTATTTAAGGTTTAACCATAATATTTAAGGTTTGACTCTCATCATCCACTGGAGCACAAACTGGGTGTCATCAGGACGATACAGCAGCAGGGAAGCAGAAGAACTAGTTATGGTCATTATGCAAATGTACTGTTGCTAAGGAAACCTGCAGTCAGCTGAGATTGAAGAAGTCACCTGGATGAGTGATGTACATGCAGATGAACAGAATCAACTTTCTGGTAAGATAAAATCCTTCTATGCTACTCAAGTCTGGTGTTAGTCAGCCATGTGGCTGCAAACACTTATCCCACTAGAGGGCGCTCCGGTTTTACTTTGAACCAAGAAGAGGAGCAAAAACCAGCTACTGGTCTGCTACATTAATGTCTGCTCAGAGAAAATGTACTTTAAGTGGTCTAAGGAGCTTGGAAAGAAAAGCGTCTGGACTTCTTTAAGTTGCTTGAAGACGTTTCACCTCTCATCCCATAAGCTTCTTCAGTTCTGAAGAGAAACCAAGAAATGTAATCCTTCACTGCGCACATTAAGGCTGTGGATAAAAACGTAAAGTTCAACAGGGAACGCACAAAGGATAACTGTTTGCCTTTCCTGGACTGCACTGAAGAGAACGGCAACCTCAACATTGAAGTTTACCGGAAGCCCACACACACGGACCAGTACCTCCTCTTTGACTCCCATCACCCTCTGGAACACAAACTTGGAGTAATCAGGACCCTACACCACCGGGCAGAACATGTTCCCTCTAAGCCTGAAGGGAAAAAGAAGGAACACATACATGTAAAGGAAGCACTCAAAACGTGCGGCTATCCTAAATGGGCGTTCTTAAAGTCAGCAAAGAGGCACAGAAAAGAAGACCAGACACCAGCGAGGGAGGATAAGAAGGACAGACGCAACAACATTGTCATCCCCTATGTAGCCGGTGTATCAGAGGAACTCAGGAGAGTTTTCTCCAAGCAAGACATCCCAGTGCATTTCAGACCCAGCAACACACTCAGACACAAACTGGTTCACCCGAAAGACAAAACGCCAAAACACAGACTTAACAATGTGGTGTATGCTGTACAGTGCAGCGAGGAATGCTCAGACCTCTACATTGGAGAGACCAAACAGCCACTTCACAAGCGCATGGCACAACACAGAAGAGCCACCTCCACAGGACAAGACTCAGCAGTCCATCTGCATCTATGGCTACGTTCACACTGCAGGCGAAAGCACATCCAATCGACTTTTCTGACCCCATATCCGATCTTGCTATGACAGTGTGAACGGCACAAATCTGATATTTTCAAATCCAATCTGGGTCACTTTCGTATGTGGTACTGAATCCGATACATATCTGATGTTTTAGAAAGCGACTGCTGTTTGAATGGTCATGTTGCATTAAATCCATCTTTTATGTCACTGACACAAGACAGACGACAATTATCAGCGCCTGAGAAGACATCATGAACGCTTCCTGTCCATCCAGCGTAGATGTCAGTGAAACTGTTGGGAAGACAACGTTGGAGAAACGTGAACATTTTATTTGTACTGTATAATCAGCAGATTCTGACAGAAATTCGGAATCGGAATTGAGCATTAAGACCTGCAGTGTGAACGTAGCCTTAAGGTCAAAGGTCACTCTTTCGAGGATGCCAATGTTCACAGTTTGGACAGAGAGGACAGATGGTTTGAAAGAGTGAAAGAAGCATCTATGTCCACTGTGAGCGACCATCTTTGAACAGAGGCGGGGGTTTACGACACCAACTCTCTGCCATCTATAATCCAGTTCTGAGATCCTCCCCAGACGCCTTAACGCCCACTCACATCCTGGGCCATCTGACCTCAGGAAATCACATGATAGGGTGGGGCCAGGTTTCCTAATGAGCTCACCCGAAACCCTGGCTGATTGGGACCCACACCCGTTTTCACACCACGGCTCATGTGATTAGGTAGAGGATCATCAGGGGGTTGTCTCTCTTGGGGAACCCTCCCATAGGGCTTTACAGCATCCTGCGATTGCATTTGTCCCTAACCATCGGGAACCCTCACATTAACTTTTATAGAGTGGAAAAAGGTTAGCGTTCATCGTCCAGCTTTACTGTGTCTGCTATGCTAACATAGCTGTGTCACTAGCGATCACATAGCACATCATTATAAACCAACTAGCCCAACTTTAGTAACCCTACAAACATCACTGCTGTTTTGTGTTCTGTCTTCACTCATGTCTGAAGTGATAGCAGCGCTGTACGACTTAATTTTTTCTGAAATGCCTCAATCAGAACATGGTATATTATATTTCAATGGAAACTAGCGACCTAACTTCCTGCTAACTTCTCCGTTAAACTTAATAAATTCTGTTTTCCTGGATGCCTGGATGTTAAACGTAATTGTTGCACCTGCCAATCAGCCACACTGATCATTTTATTAAATATGAAAGGATTTAGACAGTTTTTAACTCTCAGTGATGCTGCAGTGATCGTTTGACTTTTGGACCTGCAGCGGAGTTTGGGCCCAGACACAGCTAATGATGACAGACTTAAAGACTGGATTGGCTGACGTCTGAGGCCTGTAGCCAATAAATGCTCTCCAGGGCCTTTATAACTGGACTGATGCTGCATTCAGGGCCTCTGTGTTTGTGAAACTGCTGTTAGTATGTTAGTTAGGATCTGATCGTCTTTGTTAGCTTGTTGGTGTTTGTTAGCCTTCATTGATGGTCTTGTTAATTTAGCCAGAAACCTTGAGTGCCCATTCTATTTTGGTTTTCACCGTTTTCTCCTGTTTTTCCAGCCAGTTTGATGTTACTGTCCTCACTCGTAGACCAACTTGGGGATGCAACAACAGCAACATTTACTTTTAAGCAGGTGTGTTTGTTATTTTTATTCAGAGTTTTACATGGTATAATTTGGTGTTATTGCCATGACAACAGAGCCAACAGCGCACTGAAGCTAAACAGCAAAATAAAATCTGTAAGAAAAAAAAAACAAAAAACAATTTTTTTCCAAATGATTTAAAATTGTGGACACAAAGGTACATACTGAATCTGCAAGGCACTTATACCAAACTGGAGCCCAGCAGCAGTAGCTTGCTATTGTGCCACACTGTCTTTAGTCTCCATGAGCAGCTACGATGCATATAGTTAACACAGGTGTCCTGCTTCTGTGTGATGGAGCATCAGAGATCAGAATCTGCTGCTGTGTCTCGCTTCTGTATCTGTCGAGCTGCAAAACACACAAAATAAACATGGATATGATGGATGGTTATAAATCATACAACTGCTTAAAGTCTGTTTCACTCTATAATTTACAAACTGAACATCATGTTGAAACTCTTAAGACTAAAAGGATCATTTTCTCAGAGACTTTTATGCAGTTGGACTTCTATTTGTAAACCTGCAAATGTGCAGCTGCACAAACATCTGCACTAAAGCTGAATCATGTTAAACTTCAATGAGTCTGAAAACAGTGATGATGAGAGCACAGAGGCTCTTTGAGCTCATCCACCTTTCCTCCGGGTAACAGCAGTGATGCTGATCATGATGATTAAGTAGAGCAGTCCAATCAGTGTGCGGACAGTCATGTGCCACAGGTGATCAGCAGCTGGAGGACAAAGAAACATCTGGAATCAGAGCCTCATCCACCACCAGCTACAGTCACTGATCACTCAGTTATTCAGCTGTATGGGAACACAACTGAACACTTGATTATTCTGGTACGTTTGTCCTGAAACAAACACACTGGGTAACACTCAGAAATTTATATTTTGTCTAAATACTGGTCACAATAATGCAAAAGTCGTTCTTTGAATAACTGCTTTCATACCTAAGATTTCCTCAGGTGCTGCTGCCGCTGTTGCTGCAGTTCTTGTTGTCAGTGAAGTGGTCGTTGTTTTTGGTGGTGGTGTTCGCGTTGTTTTCCTGTCTGTGTTTAACATTTGAAAGATATAAAAGACAGAAAATGTACTTTAGAATAGTAACTTTACATAAAAAAGATTTTTTAAAAACATAACAGAACCCCATGAGTGTTGGTAATCAGCCCAGGACTCTTCGTTTCCAACTAATATTGGTCAGTTTTTGCTGGCCTCTGCAATTCGTCCTCTCAACCCACTGGCTCCAAAACCTTTCCCAGTATCCGCTCACGTTCGCCAACAAAGCATTGTCAGTAAATATATAGATCTAGCACAGCTCATTCTTCCACCACTCAACCAGCCCACTCCACCCATCATGCGCAGTCCGGCCCCATCTCAGGCAAAACAGCTCACTCCACTCGAGTTTTCTTTTGCATTTTCACTATACAGAGACATCTTCTGCACTACTTTCCCTTCCCAAAGACAAGTTCTCGATACCTACTTGACCATAATACTCGATCTCGTCCTACACTTCAGCAGCACCAGCTTTTACTAGTACCACATCCAGTTCACTTCTCAAGCAGCTGCTTGCCTACAACAGTTTGATCAGGACACATTCTGGGGCAGGAACTCTACTGTCGCTGTCCGATCTTCACTCTCCTGCAAGATATGCAGTGCTCCGTCACATCCTGCTTCCGTTTGTAGCATTCCAGCCCAAAGCAACTGACAGCCCATAAGCCACACATCCACTCTTACCTGCTTGGGTCCAGCCTCTAAACCAGAAATTTCCAAACCCACAGCATCCATTCCTAGCATGCCTTTGCCACAAGGTACAGACTGAAAGGGCGACCCATCGTGAACCTAGGAGGCCGCACCATTTGCAATAATTCCAACTCCAGAAACTGATTCCAGTTGCCTCATGTCTTAGTGCTGCTATCTCCACTCCTGCTCTTTTTGCGGCAGCGGCCATTCCTGCCCAGCATGCCCCCACAACCCCCCCAAACAATGACCAGTTTTATCTGTTTTGACACCTATACATATTCGCGCTTTAAAAGAAGCCTTAAAAAAAAAATCACCCTTACCCAGACTTGGTGAACTTTTTAGTAAAATGTTTTTAAGGTTTCCACCCAGGGATTGTTACCCAGCCATCAGGTCTCTTGTACCTGTAAAAACCTCCAGTCAGCTCTCGAAGACCCAGACGCCATTGAAAGCCTGCTCGCCAAAGAAGTTAGGAGGGTTTAATGAGTGGACCCTTTCCTAAACTGCCTGTTCCCCTTTTTCGCATCGCTACCAGAAAATATTCAGGCAGAAAGCGCATCATCATCATAAATGTATCTGCACCTCATGGGAGTCATGTTTTTAAATTAGAGATGTCATTCCCTGGAAACACCTGGAGAAACACAGCTGACACAAATGAACCTGACGCCACCAGGGAAGCGAAACTGAACACATTGAACATGGAAACAAGACTTTCAAAATAAAACAGGAAAACATAGAGAGACGTAGACATGACAACCACACTTGACATTACAACAATGGTTTGTATCATATCTATCTAATAGACTCCAGTTTGTTCATGTAAATGGAGAGTCCTCTACACACACTGAGGTTAATTATGGAGTTCCACAGGGTTCAGTGCTAGGATCAATTCTGTTTACATTATACATGCTTCCCTTAGGCAGCATCATTAGAAGACATAGCATACATTTACACTGCTATGCAGATGACACCCAGTTCTATCTGTCCATGAAGCCAGATAACACACACCAATGAGTTAAACTGCAGGAATGTCTTAAAGACATAAAGACCTGGATGGCCGCTAACTTTCTGCTTCTTAATCCAGATCAAACTGAGGTTATTGTACTCGGCCCTGAAAATCTTAGAAATATGGTATCTAACCAGATTCTTACTCTGGATGGCATTACCTTGGCCTCCAGTAACACTGTGAGGAACCTTGGAGTCATTTTTGACCAGGACATGTCCTTCAAAGGGAGAAAATCCCGTGGAGGCCTGGGGCACCTCCAGCACTGCAAATAACAGAGGGTCTAGCCAGCGATCCCAATTCCGTTCATCCTCGTTAATGAACTTACGAATCATGGACTTTAAAGTCTTGTTCAACCGCTACACCAGCCCGTCCATATGAGGGTGGTGGACGCTGGTTAATGCCCAGTAATTCGTACAGTTCCCGCAGTGTGCGAGACATGAACGATGTGCCCTGATCTCTTTCGGGATTCCGACTCGGGACCTGAAACAGTGCCTGCGCCACACTCTTTGCAGAGATGTTGCGCAGCGCCACTGCTTCCGGGTATCGCGCTGCATAATCCACCAGGACTAACAGAAAGCGATAGCCGCGTGCACTCTGGTGAAACACCCCGATGAGGTCTGTGCCAATGCGCTCAAACGGGACCTCCATGAGTGGGAGCGGGTGCAAAGGCACTTTTGGTATGAACGGCTGATTAACAAGCTGGCAGGACGCGCACCAACGGCTCACATCCAGATGTCCGGCTAATAAAATCAGGCCGTTATTCACTCCAGAGTTTTTTCATATCCTATATGCCCTGCCATGGGGTTATAATGAGCCGCCTGGAAAATCATTGCCCCTCCATGAACTGCTCCAGCACCGACTTCTCCACCAGCAGCGTCTCCCCCTCTGACGATCCCGGCTGCAGCCACCACACCGCCGCGTCGTGTAGTTTCCGGGCCCAAGCAAACGGCCGATCCTCCCCGGCGAATATCCTCAGGGGCAAGATCCATCCTGTCCAACACCGCCCGGCTCATGTCCTCGAAGTTGCTCCTCGAGGCGGCCCTGAGTCTGCCGCCGTCTGAGCCTCCCCCAACAGCAGAGGAAGCAAACGTGGAGCCCACTAAACCTGCGGCCACTTCCAAGGTGGCCGCAGGTTTGTAAAGTTAGAAATATCCTGTCTCAGAGTGACGCTGAAAAACTAGTTCATGCATTTATTACTTCCAGGCTGGACGACTGTAATTCATTATTATCAGGATGTCCTAAAAACTCCCTGAAAAGCCTTCAGCTAATCCAAAATGCTGCAGCAAGAGTCCTGACAGGGACTAGAAAGAGAGAGCAGATTTCTCCTGTTTTGGCTTCCTGTTAAATCCAGAATTCAAAATCCTGCCCCTCACATACAAGGTCTTAAATAATCAGGCCCCATCGTATCTTAATGACCTTGTAGCACCATATCACCCTATTAGAGCACTTCGCTCTCGCTCTGCAGGCCTACTTGTTGTTCCTAGAGTATTTAAAAGTAGAATGGGAGGCAGAGCCTTCAGTTTTCAGGCCCCTCTTCTGTGGAACCAGCTTCCAGTTTGGATTCAGGAGACAGACACTATCTCTACTTTCAAGATTAGGCTTCAAACTTTCCTTTTTGCTAAAGCATATAGTTAGGGCTGGACCAGGTGACCCTGAATCCTCCCTTAGTTATGCTGCAATAGACGTAGGCTGCCGGGGCATTCCCATGATGCATTGAGTTTTTCCTTTCCAGTCACCTTTCTCACTCACTATGTATTAACAGACCTCTCTGCATTGAATCATATCTGTTATTAATCTCTGTCTCTCTTCCACAGCATGTCTTTATCCTGTCTTCCTTCTCTCACCCCAACCAATCACAGCAGATGGCCCCGCCCCTCCCTGAGCCTGGTTCTGCCGGAGGTTTCTTCCTGTTAAAAGAGCAGGGGTGATGTGGTGCATAGAAGGGGTCCTGGTGATAATACGGGCAGCAGAGTTCTGGATACGTTGAAGCTCATGGATAGATTTTTGACTAAGACCAAAAGAAGAGAGCTGCAGTAATCGATCCAGACTGTGAACAAGAGTGTCAGCGGCATGTGGGGTCACTGTTTGATCAGACTTCACAAACAGGAAAAGACTCATGAACACCTGGACATTGATTAAACATAAACTAGAATAATACTCGACTTAACCATAACCAAATAATAACACCACAACTTTGTGTTAATTGAATCTAACATTAGAAAATACAAAATACTCAAAACGCTGGTTTACGTGAACAGTCGAACTCGGTTTGTTCTGTGTCCAGTCCTCATTGGGGTCTCTGCTGACTGGCTTACTGTACAGATGTGAGGTGATTCAGTCTCAACATGTAACTCTACACGACTTACAAATCTACCTTTGTAACAGCGCTTTCTAAAGTGCATCACGTCATGAAGAGGACAGTTATTCACATCCTCTCTGGGACATGTCAACAGAAAACGATTCTAATATTACGTGTGGGTTTAAGATTCAAAAACAGAAAAAGGGAAGTGAAAGTTTGACGTTACCTGGCGGGATCACCCTCAGCTCTGCGGCCGTTTCGTTATTGCACAGGTATGTTCCAGAGTCTGAGACAGCAGCTCCACGAATGTGCAGTGACTTATCCACGAATGCATGGTAATGTTCTCCTGGATCATCGTGTCTCATTACACCGTCATTAAAAACTGTAAGTATGATAACTTTCCTCCCTTCTGTCTCTCTGCTCCAGGTCACGTTGCCCTGAGGGCGAGGACAGGGCAGAGTGATGGGCTGCTGCTCCTCAGCTTCTCTATAGATTAAATCTGTGAAACATAATCTATGAAAATATCTAACAATACCAAATTATCTGTTTACACATGAAAGGTGGAGTGTTAGAAGCCTGTACCTGCAGAGACATCAGAGCCCAGAATAAAAGCACAAAGACAGCAAATGTTCACCCACATCCTGATGCACTGAAATAACTGCAACAGCTGACCCAGGCTTCTGTTTCTGCTGAGAACAGGAACTGTGTGGTTTACAGGAACTGTGTGGTTTACAGGAACTGTGTGGTTTACACGCACATCTTCTGCACATCTCAGAGTCTTTTTATAGGAAATGAATATTAATGTTTCCTGTTAATATTTCCTCAGGATTTGTTGTTGACTACCGACAACAACAAAACTGTGTCTGTACTGGAAAGTGAAAATTACTTTTCTGTGAACAAACACACTACGCCACAGCTACAGTGGGGCAAAAAAGCATTTAGTCAGCCACCAATTGTGCAAGTTCTCCCACTTCAAAAGATGAGAGAGTTCTTCCATCACAGGTATGCGTCAACTATGAGACAAAATGAGGACAAAGATCACATCGTCTCATTTTTAAAGAACTGATTTGTAAATCGTGGTGGAAAATAAGTATTTGGTGAGTAACAAAAGTTGATCTCAGTACTTTGTTATATACCCTTTGTTGGCAATGACAGAGGTCAAATGTTTCCTGTAAGTCTTAGCGAGGTTTTCACACATTGTTGCAGAGGTGTGGACTCGAGTCACATGACTTGGACTCGAGTCATTAATTTTATGACTTTAGACTTGACTTGAAAAAATGTTCTAAGACTTGTGACTTGACTTGGACTTTTACACCAATGACCTGGGACTTGAACCGGTTTACTTGAAAAGACTTGATATTTCACCCCAAATCTAAAATTTAACACACACATTATATAGAAAGTGTGCATCATTAATTCAATTCATTCATTCGTTTATTCCAACCACACTCCGTACGTATGTGTGTGTGAGCTGTAGCACAGCCAATCAAATTAACCAGATTTCTTTTTTAAGAAGAAAAAAAACGCTCAAAAATGTTATTTTTTCCAGGTACATAAACTATGAAGTAGTCAACAAAAAACCGAAACGCAATATGCAAAACATGCAAGAAGAGAATCACAGACAGAGATGGAGCAACTTCCAGCAGTTGGAGTTGCATAAAGAACGGTAGGCGGTGCTTCATGACTTCATCTAACTGGCAAATGTTGTCCAGGCTCCGTTGGTGATACAGTTTTTTTTAATGTGTATGATATTTTTGTCATTTTAAAGCCGGTCCTACAAGCACAGCATCCAAGAATAACATGCAGCTTATCTCAGAACTGTCGGTGAAAACTATTCTTGGAGCTAGGTTTAATTGAGCTGCATTTTAAAGAGGTGCAATTTCACAATTTGTGTATATTTTCTAAGTTCACTATTTTGTCATGTGTTGAGAAAAACAGATTTAAAAATCACACGGTCTAATATTTACATTTAGCATAACTGCAACATGCTTTTCTTTTTTTTTTTTTAAGACTTGAAATTCAAAGTTTCAGACTTGTGACTTTACTCGGACTTTTACAGTGACTTGAGACTCGACTCTGACTTGAGGATAAAGACTTGAGACTTACATGAGACTTGCAAAACAATGACTTGGTCCCACCTCTGCACTGTTGCCCCACAGCCTGATGTTCCCACCATGCTTCACAGCAGGTATGCTGTTCTTTGGATGCAACTCAGCATTCTTTCTCCTCCAAACACAACAATTAGACTTTTTAGCAAAAAGATCTATTTTGGCTTCATCTGAACATATGACATTCTCTCAGTCCTCTTCTGGATCCAAATGCTTTCTAGCAAACTTCAGACGGGCCTGGGCGTGCACCAGCTTAATCAGAGCGACACGTCTGGCACTGCAGGATTTGAGTCCCTGGCGGCTTCGTTAGCCTTTGTTACTTTGGTCCCAGCTCTCTGCAGGTCATTCGCTCGTGCCCCCCGTGTGGTTCTGGGATCTTTGCTCACCGTTCATGTGATCGACCCCACGGGGTGAGAGCTTCCATGGAGCCCCAGGTCGACGGAGATTATCACTGGTCTTGCTCCCACAGTTGATTTCTTCACACCAAGCTGCTTGCCTATTGCAGATTCAGTCTTCCCAGCCCGCTGCAGGTCTACAATTTTGTTTCTGGTGTCCTTGGACAGCACTTTGGTCTTGGCCATCGTGGAGTTTGGAGTGTGACTGTTTGAGGTTGTGGACATGTGTCTTTTATCCTGATAACGAGCAAAAACAGGTGCTATTAATACAGGTAACAAGAGGAGGACAGAGGAGCCTCTTACAGAAGAAGTTACAGGTCTGTGAGAGCCAGAAATCTTGCTTGTTTGTAGGCGACCAAATACTTATTTTCCACCATAATTTGCAAATAAATTCTTTAAAAATGAAAATTTTTTACTCATTTTGTCTCTCATATCCTGGAACACCACCAAGTCATTGGTTCAGGTATGTGGATGACACCTGGGTGACAATCAAATCTCAGGACGTTCCACATTTCACGGATCACATTAACTCAGTGGACCGACACATCAGATTCACCAGGGAGGATATGAACAGGGGCAGGTTAGCCTTCTTAGACTGTGAGATTTCCATCAGTAATGGGGGACATCTAAAAGCTGACGTGTACCGTAAACCTACACATACTGATCAGTATCTAAGGTTTGACTCTCATCATCCACTGGAGCTCAAACTGGGCGTCATCAGGACGCTACAACACAGAGCGAACACCATCCCTACTGACACAGCAGCCAGGGAGGCAGAAGAACATCAGGAAGGCCCTGAGTAAATGTGGTTATCCCAGCCGGACTTTTGTCAAAGCTGGGAAGGCTCCTAAAGAAAGCTCCAGCTGATCCAGGAGAGAAGGACAACCACATGTTAATGATCCAGGCACTGACATCTTGCTTGGAGAATCGAGGAGAGCATCCGGCAGGCTCTACGGGATGATAATAATAATGCATTGGATTTATATAGCGCTTTTCAAGGCACCCAAAGCGCTTTACAATGCCACTATTCATTCACACACACATTCACACACTGGTGGAGGCAGCTACAGTTGTAGCCACAGCTGCCCTGGGGCAGACTGACAGAAGCCAGGCTGCCATATCGCGCCATCGGCCCCTCTGGACAACACCAGTAGGCGGTAGGTAAAGTGTCTTGCCCAAGGACACAACGACCAGGACAGAGAGCCCGGGGATCGAACCGGCGACCTTCCGGTTACAGATGCGCTCCCCTAACCCTGACCTCCTCCAACCTCCAGATCGCCGTTTTGTTCCCACGTTCGGACTCACATATCTAAATTCTCCTGTCACCACAGAGCAGGTTGAACCATCGCCTTACCGAAGCGCCACTTCTGGTGGGAAACGTGCGCGGGAGTACGTCTCCGCCTGCGAGACCTGCACCAGGAGCAAAACCAGACTACTGCAGCCATTAGCCATACCTTCCTGCACTTGGTCACACATTTGTCTGGACTTCATCACCAGTTTGCTCATCTCGGCAGGTAAATCCGTAATTCTCTCTGTAATTGATAGATTCTCCAAAGCCACTGACTTTATAGCCTTGGACAAACTCCCCACAGCTACTGAAACCGCTAAACTTTTGGTCGCTTCATCTTCAAGCGCCACAAGAGCTCAATCCGAGATCACCTCCAGCAGAGGACCCCAGTTCATATCACAGGGTTGGAAGTCATTTTGCTCTTTAGGGGACCAGGTCAGCCTCAGACCAACGGAAAGACTTCTTAGGTTCTTAGCTTTTGTGTTCTCATGTTTATCGCAGGTTTAGTTCAGTGTGTAGTCTGTCTCTCTGTGTCGTGTCTGCGTCTTTGTTTAGTGGTTTCCTGTTTTATTGTGAAAGTCTGTCTTATGTTAGTGTGTGCAGCTTTGCTCCCCCTGTCTCGTTAGTCCAACCCCTCCCAGCTGTGTCTCCCTCCTGTGTCGCGTCGTACCATCAGATTATGCCTGTGACAGTATTCAGTGTTCACTTCATGTTTTGTTTCCGTGCCAGCAATAAAGCTGAGGTTTGGAGTTGTATTCAGGGTCCTCCTCTCCCTCCGCCTGCACACAGAGCCCTGACAGATCAGATGCTCTCCTGAGAGAAACTGGGAGACGAGCGGGGATAAATCATGAACTCAAAAGCTATATAATAATTCAAAAACACAAAACACTGGGTCACCGACCCAGGACCGTGACACGTTCCTTCATACTTGACCCTCCTCTCATTTCAGATTTTTTCAGGTCACATCGCAGGTTGGAGGCTGCTCCTGCTGCATGGCTGCTGCATGGCTGCTGCATGGCTGCCAGCTTGGCCATCTGGCCAAGCAGAGTTGCACTTTTTAAATGTCTTTTATTTTCCAGCTGCCCTCCTTCTGTGTCACACACAGGTATCTCAGGTCCCAGCAACATAATTGGATAATTAGGTCACGTGTGTGAGTAAACCTCCCCTGACACCACACCCTGAATCCATTGCTCCACCCCTCCCAGGCAGCTGAGCCACAAACCACACCCCGCCCCAAGGTCACTACCATGAGATATTTTATATTCACTGTCTTATTCTCACCGCTGTCAGATTTCTCCTCTTTGATCACTTTTAGATAAGCAGCTGGTTTTCCATCACAGTGGTACAGTCCGGAGTCAGCAAGCTGAACATCTGGAATAATCAACATCTGGCCCACAGTGGAAGCATGAGGGCAGACTATCTGTTGTTTTCCAGCAAAACTTCTGCTCCACGATGGACTTCCTGATCTTCGACCAGCATGAGGGCATCTCAGGGTGACGTTCCTCCCCCCCACAACAGCGAGTCTCATTGTTCCTGTGCACAGTAAACATGAACATTACGGGGTCAGCACCTGTCTAAGGTTCACACACATGCATTCGGTCTGTCTTCTGACTGAGAAAATATCCACATCATGTTGGGAAAAACCCAACTGAAGACTGAAAAATCGAATAAGTTTGCTGTCACCTGACGGGATCACTGTGAGCGCCACAGCAGCTTTATCGTCACAGAAGTAGATTCCCGAGTGCGAGACAGCAGCTCTGTAAATGTAGAGCGACAGGTCGTCGTATGCAGTGTACTGCTTGGTGATGTCATCGTGTCTTATTAAACGTCCGCCATCGGCTGTCAGGATCTCCTCTCTGCTGTCATTTCTCTCTCTGCTCCACGTCACTCTGCGCTCCTCGGAGAGAGGACACCTCAGAACAACGGAGCGCTCTTCTTCAGCCACTTCATGCATCAAACCTGCAAAACACAATATCATAAAAATACAAGTGAACATTTGGCTGCAGCTGGATTAAGATTAAATCTTTACTGAGGTTTTTTAAATTAAATCAGCTGCACCGCACACCACTGACACAGGCTTCAATATGCAAACTTATCATTAAGGTGTAAAGAACAAGTTTAAACATTTAGGTCAACATGTTCAGAATGAATGTAAACGGTTCTTACCTGCAGTGACTTTACAGCTCAGGAAAAAGGCAAAAAGACAGCAGCAGATGTTTGCTGCCATCCTGATACAGACAGAAAAGATTTAAACTCTGACTTCATCTTTTCTTCATGAGAAGATTATCAGGAGTTATTTAGGAACGGCCTTAACACCTCTCACTGTCTTTTAATAGTGTTTCCTGTTTTGTGCGCATGAACGTGTGCAAATACAGTGTTGGTGCTAAAGGCGTTCGGGGAAGTGTGACTTCTGAAACACAAAGAGGATTTAAAGAAACCTGCATCAGAAACTGGCTGATGGCAGCAGAGACCCAGGAGCAGAGTGGGACAGGGCGCTGATGACCGGTCGGGCGGAGACGCAAATGGACCAGACGGTGTGGAAACCTCTGGTGAGACAGAGCTAGCTGCAGCTGTGCAGGACACGCAGCGTGCTCAGGACGCTTCTCAAGCTCAGGGAGCGACGTGGAGTTTGTGGCCGGCTGGATACGCTCGCTCGAGCTCCCAGCTGATGCAGGAGGCTGAGACAGCTCGCAGCCTCCCCCATGTTACATAGTTAATGTTGGATTGCAGTCGGCACAGTCAGAGGACATATCTTACACATCGTGTTTAGACATTAAACTAAACATTACCCTCTGAACAATGTCCTGCTTCTCCTCAGTTACTTCATAGATTAAATCTTACAAACACATTTAAACACAAAAGACAAAATGCAGTGAGCCCAGTGAGTGTCTGGTAGTAGGAACTCAAGCGCAGAGCCGTAGGCGTCTCCAAAAAACAGTTTATTCACAGCACCAGTGCACGATATATACAGTGGAGGGGAAGCTCTCTCACACTCGCTCACGTCTTCTTGCCCAAACTCACACACGTTCACACGACTGGGGGGTCACAGGTACGGAAAGTCTGTCGCAGAAGAGAGGGAAGTCACACACGAATCACAGGTTCACCAGCGCTGGGAGAAACACTAACGTCTGTAGTACAACCACCCAGCGACGAGAGGATCTGTGTTCCAGCCTCAAATAGTGCTCCAGGTGATGACCGCTGATTGTTGACAGGTGTGTGGGCCAAGGGCGGAGCCCACAGTGAGCTCCGCCCAGGCAGAGAGAGAGAGAACCAAACACCACATGTAGCCCTGTGGGGCCGGCCGGGCGCGGAGACCATGACAGTGAGAGCCTATAACAACACAGCAGGAGATGTTCACTGACACCATCGTTCTGTACTCAGATTAGCATCTGAGCTAATACTTCGGGCTGAGAGCAGGAACTCTGTGGTTATGTGTGGGTTTGCCCACACGTAACCACAGACAAAGAGGTGCTTTATATACAAGGTCAAAAAAACTGTACTGAGTCCATCCACAACTCAGCTAAACTAAAGTTCGTGGATGGTTTTGTTTCTTATGTAATATCTCAAAGAGCAGCTCTGCTAACTCAAACTGACTCATGTGTTATTTTTACTTCAAGCTGAAAACAGGAACTGTGCGGTCGTGTTTGCAGGTCCTCAGCACACCACAGTGTCTTTTTAGACGCATACAGAAGATGTGTGAACTGCCATCAGACACATGCAGTGTGACGTTTCCTCCGTCTAGTCTGCGCAAGTAAAGAATACAACAGAATTCAAATGTCTGCAACAGCAGAAGACGAAGAGAGGACTCCTCAGCTGTGTGGCACATCGATCATGCAGGTGCACTGAAACCTGCTCCTCACATACAAGATATTGAATATTCAGGCCCATCTTATCTTAATGACCTTGTAGTACCATATCAGCACTTTGCTCTCAAAACATATAGCTGTAGGCTGCTGGGAGATTCCCATGATGCACTGGGAGTTTATTGTTCAGTCACTATGTATTTATAGTTATTTTTAATCTGTGGCAGTCTTCACAGCGTGTCTTTGTCCTGTCTTCCTCCTCTCGGCCCCAGATGGTTTCTCTGTATTAGTGTAGTCTTTATCTTACCATACAGAGCATGCTGAGGTGCCTGCTCTTGTGATTTGTTGCTACAATGAAATTGAATAGAATTTGTCTAACAGCAGGAAAGCAGCACAGCATGGCTGTGAAAGCAGGGTTACGTCTATGAGACAGCACCGTAATATTTTGCCACTAAAATCAATAATTATTGTAACAAATAATTGGAATCAAATATTGATGAAAATAATTGTGATAATTAATTTGGTCATAGTGATGAAGTCCAAATTACAAGGCTGCCGGTCCAGACGGTGTAGCTGAATGTGAAAAGGAAGCACGGCATCATCAACACCTGTCTGAGTCACACATGCCCACTCAGTCCTCGTGGAAGAAGTGTTGAAAAGGTGGAGCTGAAAAGCTGAGAGAGGAAAGCATGAAGAGAAACTAAAAATAGATGCAGCTGCTGCATCGTGAACATTAGTACCACCAACAACTAACCAACCAGCCTCAGGGTGCTGGACTTGGGGTGAAACCCTCCATGCATGGTCAAGAGCTTCCTGGACTTGATGTCAGTGGCTTCTATCTCCTTCTTTGGGCATCTTATTATCCCAGCAGGGTACCTGATCACATCAGGGCAGGTGTTGATGGCCCGGGTCTTGTTCTTATCGTTCAGCTGACTCCTCAGGACTTGCCTGACCCTCTGCAGGTACTTGGTGGTTGCGGTTTTTCTAGCGACCTTTCCATGACTCCCACAAGACTTTTTTGAGCATGTTGTAAGCTTTGTGTTTCTTTGGAGATCCCAAAGATAATTGCTGGTGGATTTGGATCAATCTTGGTTTTAAGAATATTGGACAGACAGGTGAAGATGTCACACCAAAAACCCTGAAGTGCATTTCCATAATGTGTCATACGTTTTTCACAGAGGGGGGAGCAGTCTGGGTACATTTTGTGAAGTCTTTCCCTTGAGTAATGTAACCTGTGTACAATGTTATACTGAATTAGGCAGTGACGGGAATTAATAAAAAGCCAAAACTCTTCCGATAGGGAAATCCCAAATTCCTTTTGGATGAATGAGTTGAAGGTGCACTCATCTCCTGTAGTGCGTTATAGAATAATGAGATTCTCTGTTCGGACCCCGGCTATCACTAAGGCTTCTATCCAAGGTGTCGGACGACGTGTGCAGATATTATTCCGTAGTTGAAGATATCTTAAAAGATGGCTGCGCTGTAGTCCAAATCTATCTATTAACTGTTGAAATGACATGAAGGCATCATTTGAATACAAGTCTTTTAATTTACGAATTCCCAGTTCCTGCCACACATTGAAAGCTCCGTCTGCACATGATGGAAGGAAAGAGTGGTTAGCTGTAACATACTCATCGATAGTGGTGGTATGGATCTCTGGTTATAGTTATAGTGTGCACTTGTCAAGGGAGTAGAAGTAATATTCCACCAACACAGTAAGGAAGGCAGTCCTGCAGACCGTGGGGGAGTAACGCTGTATCATCAAGTAAGAGGGAACTTATTCTTAAATTTGATGCCCAGTAATAATGCAGGCAGTGCAAGTCCTCCAAGGCCTTTACAAAGATGTTCTTTCTTTATTCTATGCGTTTTCCAGTTCCATATAAACGACATAATAATGGCATCCAACTTTTTGAAGAAAGATTTGGGCAAAAAAATCGGGATATTTCGGACCAAGTACAGATATTGCGGGAGAAAGACCTTACTGAGTTCACTCTTCCTACAAATGAGATAGGGAGCGTCCTCCAAAACTGGATGTTGTTTTTTAGCTTCTCCAGTAGAGGGAGACAGTTTTCTTTCACTAGTGAACTACATTTTCTTGTTATTGAGATGCCCAGATATGTAATTTTTTCACAAGTTATTTTAAATGGTAGAGATGTAAGCCACTCACTACTTTCAGATTTGATGGGCAATACTTCACTTTTCCCCCAGTTGGTCCTGTAACCGGCGAAGGGGCCAAATCTTGTCCCAATTGAAATTTCTCTAAGACAGCAAAGAGATAGGGCCACTCCACATGATCAAATGCCTTTTCAGCATCTAAGCTGAGTATAAGTAGATCCTGTTGCACCTTAGAGGAGTAAATTATATTAAATAGACGCCTTAGATTATTAAGGGAACTCCTATCTGCTATAAAGCCTGTTTGATCTGAATGTACCAGTTTATCTATCACCATACTGAGTCTACTCGCTAGTGTTGTAGCCAGGACTTTATGATCCAAATTTAATAAAGAGATAGGTTTGTATGATCCCACTTCCTCCAAGACTTTACCTTTTTTGGGGAGTACAGTAATAACTGCTTCATTCAATGTTGGTGGTAAGGTGCCCACATTGTATGCATGGTTGTACAGTTTAAACAGATATGGAGCAAGTTTGATCTTAAACTGTTTGTAAACCCATCTGGGTCTGGACTCTTACCATTTTTAATACACCGATAGATTTAGTAATTTCTTTTGTTGTAATCTCGGCATGTAATCTTTATGTAATCATGTAATCTTTAGTTGTAATGCCGAGATTTTTGTTTTTAATTCATGTCCTCATTTGCATACCATAGGTCAGAGCGGACACTGTGTGCTGTTGTGACGGCCTGTGGGCTGTAGCCTCGTTTTCTTATTGTTTCTGTGGCTGCTGTGGTCAATACAAATATGAAAGCATTAATTTATTTGATTATTGAATTTGTTTGTCTAGTTTCGTGCCCCCTGTCAGCAGAATGAACTTAAAAAGTAAAGTAAGTTGACTCAAACAACATCTACACAAATAACTCAAATCAAAAATGGACTCACTCTATTTGCAAAACAGTGAATGCAACACATGTAAAATTAACTGAGCTTCTAACATGTTTTTAACGCCTGTTGACTAAATGCAGCACAGCTCCAGAAACAGCAAAGACAAAGAAATGAGACGTGACGGGACAGGAACTGTTGAGCTGCAGGACGTTGAGAGGGCAGAGCAGCAAATACTTTACATGTAGGTCTGGATCACATGCTGAAGAATCTGTCATCCCTCTGATGTTCAGACTGGCTGTTTGCTGTGTGACTGGATGACGATGAACTGATCCCAGTTCAGTCTGTACGGCTCTTGTTTCTGTGTGATGGAGGATCACAGGCCGCTTTCTGCTCCTCTGTCTCTCCTCTGTTTCTCTACCCGTCGAGCTGCAAGAGACAGAAATGAATATAAGATGTTGGATGATCACAAAGCAGAAAACCCTCAAACATCTGCACTAAAGCTGAGTCATGTTAAACCTCAGTGAGTCTGAAAACAGTGATGATGAGAGCACAGAGGCTCTTTGAGCTCGTCCACCTTTCCTCCAGGTAACAGCAGTGATGCTGCTCATGATGATTAAGTAGAGCAGTCCAATCAGTGTGCGGACAGTCATGTGACACAGGTGATCAGCAGCTGGAAGACAAAGAAACATCTGGAATCAGAGCCTCATCCACCACACCAGGACTTGTCTGCTGGAGCTGTCAGTGGTTTAATTCTTGTCATACCTGCGTTTTCCTCTGCTGGTGGTGGCAGTTCTGTTGTTGTTACCATTGTTACCACTGTTGCTGTCCATTCAGTTGGTAAGAGTGGTGGAGCTGGAGGTGGAGGTGGTGGAGATGGACGTGGTGGAGGAGGGGCTGGTGGGGGTGGGGGCGGTTGGGGTGGTGGAGGTGCCTTTTTCCTTCTAGCTCCACAGTTTGTCAGGAGGCAGAAACAGCAGTTTGAGGTATCAAAGTGTTTTTGAATGGCCGTGGAACCAGGAGATAACAGCAGTCACAACATGAATTGTGTGATGTGCAACAAAAACATCTGGTATCACAACTGAATAGTAAAGTACACCCTCCCCCACTCGCCCCCAGCCATTCTTTGCACGTGTTCGTTTCTTTGTTTCCACGTCCTGTTTTATTTCGCTCGCTGCGCTTCTCTGCCACCTTGTGTATTTCCCTTTTTTGCCTCATGCTGAAGGATGTCTTATTTCCTAAAATGAATGAGGAGGAGCTACATCCAAGGATACATAGGTCTATCCTGTCAGAGATAAAGGAGGCATAACGCACAGCTGGAATATACAAACCACAACAAGGACTCTTTCCCCCTTCTCATTTTATAATTACACGTCCTCATTAAAAGAGCTTGATGTTACCTGATGGGATCACGGTCAGCTGTCCCCGAGTCTGAGACGGCAGCTCTCTGAATGTACAGGGACCCGCCTTCCAGCACTCTCTCTGCTCCACGTCACTTTGCCCCTTACAGAGCGACGGCAGCTCAGAATGACCTGCTGATTCTCCTGAACGGCTTCATGGATGAAACCTGCAAACACAGAATTCGTAACAAGACTCTGATCATTTACCTGCCCGATGCAGCGAGAGGACATAGAGTCCGCCAGTACAAACCAAGAGCTCACAGTTTAACACAGACCGTCATGAAAACAGTGAAACAAGGAGCAGATTAAACTGTTTGGTTTCAGTAAATGTGCAAAGTTCTTACCTTTAGTGACATTAGAGCCAAGAATGAAGACAAAAAGACTGCAGATGATGTTCACCTTCCTGTCAGGATGGACATTATGATTCACCAAAGGCCGACAACAGGAACTCTGTGGTCACGTATGTAGGTCTCTGGTGTGAGCTCTTTTTATACATAGCATCTAAACCACAAGAAAACACAGTGTGCAGTGTTGGTGTGACACTAAAGGTGGACACACGTATGTACGATTGTTTCTGTTGGTGTCACAGATCTCGGGGTTGGACACTGTCCTGATTCTTTGACTGAGTCTGGTTTTCCAGCAATTAACTGAAGAAACGCAAAGATTTCTACTCAACAAAGTGAAACAGAAAACCAAGTCACGTGACTCTGCATCCAGGTGCTTATTATGAATCATAACCTTACCAACTTTAATCTCAGTGATCAACAGGACATACTCGTATAAGCTGCATGTGTAGAATCATTTTAGTCCAAGTAGAGTTTTGAAACCTTGTTCCACTATGGAAGCATCTACCACCATGTTTTCAGACTCTTAAATTTAGGATTCTTTGATTATAATAATAGTTACATCGTTTCTGCTGCACCAGATTTCATTCATCAACAAAATTACAGTGATGTGACTGTCAGTCATTTGCACGTTTAAAGGTTTCAATAGTCAGAGCTGTGAAATAGAGCGTACACGTTCATTTGCTCTCAGAAAACCACATGAGCTCACTCACCACAGACCTTCAGTGCACAGCACAGGTTAGACCGCTGGGTTAGTTTAGTGCGACAACAAAACCAGGTGCATGTGTTTGGTCTGTGCTGTCACACTGACCTTGGTCCTGTGAAAGTCTCTGTGTTTTAGTCCCATTTTCACCTTGAAACAGTCCCTTACAGGAAAATCCAGGAACAGAAAAACATGTTTTTGAAATTCCTGTTTGTCTGCAGCAGATCACAGCACACCTGTGATCACCTGACATGTCTGCTCACACACCATTTTATCGTTAGCTTCATAGCATAAGTGCCTAAGTCATTGACTTAGTCAAATGACTTAGGCACTTATGCTATGAAGCTAACGTTATTTTACAGCTGGAAACTTTTATTTATTTTTATTAACGCTCCGAGTGCGTCACTAGGAGGCGCTGTGCTCCACCTTCCACATAAAAGCCACAGCAGTACACCGGAAAGCAGCTGCAGCTCTCCGAGTTCCTCATTAAAACTTCCCCCTGCAGCGCGCAGCACCTGCGCCATCCTCAGGTGTGCTCCCAGTGATTAATAAAAACAAAACCCTCGTGAGGGGCTGCAAGCTGCCGCTTTCGCTTTGTCCCCACTCACGCTGCACTGTTATGTAACGACTCCCACGCTTCATCCCCAAAACTAAAAATGAGAGCCCCATGCCAGCCCCGCTAGCATCGTTTACTACCACGCGGATTGTTTTGTTTATGTGTGCACACCGGCTTCTTCTTAAATTCGTCCACAAACTGGACATAACGCAGAAATCATATCTCTCTGCCTGGATCCACGTGAGTTCACCAAAACTGTTTTTCTACTTCTAACCCGTGATTGGCTCCCCTTGCCTGTCAAACCCTGACATTCCTAGCGTTCACTGGCTTGCTACACATGTCAATCAAAATACGACCATTTGATTGGACCGAATCACCTTTAAAGCCCTTCCTCACTTGTTCTTCTCAACGATAGGCTCCCTGGCAACCCAATAGTAGTCTCTGAATTCTCCTATTGGCCCAATATTTAGTCAATCACACATCCCTGTGCTGTGATTGGCTTCTCTAGCAGACGTGGGCGGTAGCTCTGCCCAAAAGAAGCGTTTCCTTGTGCTGTCATATGCGACGTAAAAGGCAAGGACCTACAGTTCAAGAGGATACAGAAAGTTGACATAAATAAGGGAATTTAGAGCAAATATATATTTGATTAGTTTGAATTATAAATGATATCTTTACATCACACCGCCCAGCTATCTTGATGCGGACGCTGGAGGCGGTAATCTGTCTGTTTGTTTAGCTAGCTGCTATCGAGCCTCCTGCTCTTCAAACACACCGCCTGCGGGGCGATGGGTACGGATCTGTTGTCGGACTTGGACAGCCGCTTCTTCGCGGATAACCTGCTGACGAGCGAAGACTGGGGTGAGGCAGCATTTTGAAGCATTAAGGGTGAGACTGAAGCATTCAGAGGAGGCTGACGTGATAGCGGGGGTGTGGATGCATCGAGAAGGCGAGGCGACGCAAACGGGGTCGTCGGAGCGTCTTCGGCGCTTATTGTTCTCACCGTGACATCTGTGTTCACGACAGAACTGGTCAAATATATTCGTATATGATGATTTTTGGGTTGTGTTAGAGCGCACGCGACTGCAGGGCTGTCCTGTGCACGCACTTCCTCCTTCAGCCTGCTCGCCCGGACGCGCCGGTGTGTTCAACACGTTGGCTGGAAACGTGAGCTGCTTTAATTTAACCGCACACGTCGCCCTCTGCGTGTTGTTCCCCCATTTCCGCTAAAAACCCGCATTAAACCGCGTACTGTTGACATGTTTCAGGGCAAAGCTCGAGCCGCGGTCAGGGGGAGGAAGAGGGCTGTCACGACTGTCGTGATCAGCGCACGCTGTTATCGCGATATCTGCTGGAAACTGGTTAAAAAACCTCATCAGCCTTCTCTTATCTCCAGCTTCACAATAACCCCGAGAAAGGTGGTGTAGGCAGGTGGATGCAGGTGGAGGGTGTGCTGTTCCCTTTGTTAGAATAACATGTCATGGATAACCAGTCAGATAGAACAGCCGTGCTGTAGATGTAGCTCTCTCTGTTATGTTAACATTTTTAAATAAAAAAACACGTTTCCAGGATTTACCTGCCTGTTAAACAGTGAAGTAGGTTTACAACCCGTTTTATTGTAGCTGTTAGACCAAAGAACTTATAGCGCCCTGCCGCTGCGGTAAATACAGTTTCATCTAATCTCACCTGAGATTAGATGAAACTTTAATGATCCCCCTGAGAGAAGTGGGTCAGAGCAGCAGCAGGAAGAGTGAATACACCTGAGAACAAGAGACGCTTATAAAGGACAATAACATGTAAAACACAGCTATTTCTGACCAAAGTGCATGCATGCTGTATGTATGCACACAGCAGCACAGGAGGCGGAGTCATCACATATAAACTTCTGTGTGTAAAAAGTTTAGGTTTTTTATTTTGTTGGTAAGAGAAACTCTGCTATTATTATCCACAGATCAGTGTGTATTTATCAGCTTCTAGAAAATAAAATGGTATCAGCATCTATAAACATGACAAAACAGTAAGAGGAGACATGAGAAACACCATTCAGCCCTGCTGTGTGTTAATGGTGCATAGTTTGTCCACAAGGGGGCACTCTGCAGCTTCCTCGTTGATAACAGCTATCGGGACATTTAATCTTTCTTAATCACAAAAATATCCTGTATTAGTCAGTAAATCATTTTAAAATCTGTGATCGTAGCGTCTCTGAGCTCGAGTTCTGGGATACTCGAATACTTTACGCCGTCTCCGGCTGAGCTGATGGACTCATTTCTAGTCCTGTCCATCTGCTCACACTTCAGCTCCGCCTCCCAACTCCAAACCATCACAGCAGGTCTCACCTCCATCTTTAAACCTGCTGCTGTCCTTCTGTCACAAATCCTGTGCAGAGATCTGGAGGATTCATAAAAAGTAAAGGTCACATGCAGATTTTTTGAGTGCTGCTCTGACAGCATGTGGCTTCAAACTCCAGAGGTGTGAGGAAAGCATGACGGGAGAAGCAGAGTTGACACCATCGCGGTGTGTGCGTGGTTGAAGCTGGTTTTGTTTTCTCTCATGTATGTGGACTCGTGTCTCCTGCAGATGCCTGCCTGTTCCAGTGTGAGAGCATGGAGGAGGGCGAGGACGGGGACTTCGGCCGAGGCTTGAAATACGACGCATCGGTACGTTCGACACACAAAGCTCACGCTCTGCTTTCTGTGCACGCCTCACATTGAACCCGACACCCTGCGACCAGCACTTTCACACGGTGATGAAATCCAGTGTGTAGCTCTGCTGCTACACTTACAGCTAATCCTAGATCATCAGCACCGTCAGATGATGTAAAACCAAAGTGTTCAGCCGCAACATTAAAACCACCTGCCTGATACTGAGCAGTGAAGACGGCTGTGAGCCTGCAGGGCTGTGTGGGCTCTGCCTCTGGGACCTGGCCTGCTGTGACTCGCTGGGCACATTTGCGTAGCCTCACAGAGCTGTGAGCTCATTATTTGACTGTCTGATATTTATGAAAATGACGACGCTGAGCCCAGCGATCGCTGCCTGATTGGGTCTTTCGAGTCGCTGCACTGCTTCCCTGATTCGTCACTCCACTATCACATGACCCACAAACACATCCTGGATAGCAGGAGATCAACATGTACAAGAATAAACGGACAAATAATTTCTGAAGTAGGGATCATTTGAGTTTTAACAGATAAATTGATTTTGCTCAACTACAGCAGCTTTGCATGAGTGATGGTTTAAAATAAGCCTTCTTATACTTCCACTGGACCTCACTGCAGCTGCTCAGTTCATAATCTGTCTGAAATGAACAGTTTGAGTTTGCCCCACAAACAGGTTTGAAGAGCAGGGGCGTGGTTTCTGTGGCCGAGACCTCCATATAAGGAATATTTCCCCTTTGTGGCTTCAGCTGCATCAAGAGTGGGAAACAGCTGAGACTTCTAGACATGTTTAATATCTACATCAGCCATCGTAGCTGCACAGTCAGGAAGACAAAGAAAAGCAGAAGAAGCTTTTTTTTAGCACCAGAATCTTTGTTTGCTTTGTTTGTTTGTTTGTTTGTTTTTTAAATAGAAAAACAAAACTTTCAAAGTAAAAGTTTGTTTTTCTGGATTTTGGTTCTTCAGATTAAAAGTCTCTGAAACAGACTGACACATGACTGTTTTGGTTAGCAAGCTGCTGTGAATGCAGTGTTTGCTAGTTTAGCTGTGAGCTTAAAGTGCTGCAGATGGTGATTAATAATTGTTATGACTTTAACGATCAGCGGTGACGTGGCGTGTGTTGCGGAGCTGCTTCCTGGTTGAAGCTGCAGGTTCAGGAGGATGTTTCCTGGTGTTTTGTTATCTGTGATCTGCAGGACGTGACCGACAAGTTTACTGAATTGCAAACAGTTTCTGCAAACGTCCCACCTTAAAATAACGATGGAAATATTTGGCGTGCTGCTTTGGCCCTCAATGAGGAGAAATGTTTGCTTCATGTTTATCACCTGCTTCCTGTGACCTTTGACCTGAATTGAGTTTCCACATCACAGCTCCTGATGCTTCATGCTTCAGCAGATTTACGTCCTCACAGAAACTCAAGTTTTTGTCTGAGTTGTTGTAGCTGCAGATCACAGCTCCGCCCACTTTGCTGCTTTGGTGACAGCGGTGTGATAATGAGACACACACACACTCTCGTTTTGGTATCTTAGTGAGGACATCTAATTGACATAGGCGTTCCCTATCTGCTAACCGTTAACTATGAATGCCTAACCCAACTGTGACCCTGACACTAACCCCACACTTTAAGTCTCAAACATGCAAACTCGTGAAGACGGGCACGTTTGGGCTGTTGGTCCCCACAAAGATATCTAAACAGGCGCATGCACACACACACAGTTGCTGGGTCTGATTGTTTACTTTCTTTGCTCTCTCTCTCTCTCTCTCTCTCTCTCTCTCTCTCGTTCTGCCAGTTCGACAATGACCTCGTGCTCACCCTCGATCCTGACAACCCTACGTCGCCCTGGCGACACCTTGACGACAACCTTCTCACAGGTACATGGCGGTCAGCGGACCGTGGCGACCTTAAACCACCACCGTTTAGTGTGAGTTTGATGTAAATGAGCTGTTTCCTGTGTGTGTTTTCTTTGAAGCTGACGCTCCGGCCATTAAAAACGAAATGACAATAACGCAGCCGCTGCCGGTGGAGATGTGTAAGTCCCTGTCGGGTTTCTTTTCATGGGGTTTTGGATCGTTTGTACGTTTCCTGTGGTTTCACTGTTTGTCGTGTGCAGTGTTTCAGGTGAAAGCAGAGCCTCCCTCGCCCCCGTCCTCGCTCGAGTCCGAGTGCTCGGCCTCTCCACCTGACCCACAGGTGTGTCTCAGTCAGTGGGTATATTATAGAAAGCTAATGAACACAGACGGGTTTGTTATGGCGTTTAAAAAGATGTCCTCGTTTCTCTCTCCTGCTCAGATCACCGTTAAAGGCGAAAATCCTCCGACTCCTCCCTACATGTACGGAGACGTGCTGTCGCCTCCTCTAGGGTCCATGGAGGTTACCGTAGCAACAACAGCACCCCCAACACAAACCCAGATTGCTGCGGTGACACAGACGCAGCTCCAGACGCCGCTGACGACGCCGATCCCGGCGGTCATCGGCGGGCTACAGACGCAGGCTACAGGTACGACCGCTCGCCCGCTTATCCACTGAAAGCAGCCAATGGGAAAGCTGGGTGTGGTTTGGTTGCTTTGGTGATTGGTGCACGAGCGCAAGTTTTCCAGGTGTGGCTACAGAGGACCAGTGTTAGCTTAATGAGCAGCTTCCCTGGCTGGGAGTCATTCTCCACGTCAGGAAGCATCAGAAACATCAGGCCTGCTTCTCCAGCTTTGTGTAATCAAATGTAACCTTTGTCCAAGAATCACACAAAACAAGAAGAACGTCTCCGAGGCGCCTGGTTAGCTGCTGTGACGCCGAGGTCAGACTTTAGCCTTTTGACACAGTGATGGACAATCTGAAGCTCAAAGTCTGATTCAGGGTTCTCAGTTTAATGAGCTGTGATCAGCTGATGGCCATGGAGTGATGTAACAGCCACGCGTTCAGAGTTCATCAACCTGCAGGCTGATGATGAGCTGCTGATTCAAGCCTGATGTTCAGTAATGACAAATAACCAGCAGGCAGAAAGCGTCGCTGCAGGGAGGCTGTTAGAGGTGTGTGTGTGTGTGTGCGTGTGTGTGTGTGTGTGTGTGTGTGTGCACTGATACACGTTTATAGGGGAGGTCGGGTCTCTCGGGGAAATGTAAGTTTGTTTTGCATAACTGCACTTTAAACATAAAAGTTGTTTTTAGGCAGGCGACGTCATACGAGCTGCAAAAATGAGCGAATGTCTGTGTGCAGATTGTATTCTGCTTGGTGTTGTTTGTTCGTGGCTGCTGCACACGTCGCTGCACACGTCGGTCTAAAAACAGGATGTTCCCGTGCTGGTTAACTTTGGCTCTGAGCTGCACTTCAGTGTGAAGCAGCTGTGGACGAGTCGGCGAGCACAGCACCGGCCCTTTGTGTGAGAGGTGAAAGAGTTCAGGTGTGTGAGCTCTGCCTCAGTGGCTCTCTGCTGTTTCCAGGTGTAAGCCTGCTCAGAGAGCCGGTGTGAATAAGGCAGCAGCTCAAAGCAGCTTTTATCTGAACTGTGGGGAAAACGGAGCGTCGGCGGGTCGCTCGAGCTTTCATGTTTGGGCTCTGCCTGAAGGGAAAGCTCTCAGTTTACTGGGCGACTGTGGAGGTGGAGCCTGAACATAATAGGTCAGTCCCAACAGACATGAATGTCTCATCTGCTGCAACCTGATCCTGGTTAAAGGCAGAGAAAAGGCGAGTGTATCATCATCATCATCATCACCACAGCGACTCACTCTGAGGCTCGCCGCTCACCTTAAAGTGTCTCTAATGAACATCAGAGGGTTTGGATTATAAATCCTGGCAGTGATGGCCGTATGAAAGCACACGCTGGTGTCACGTTAGCTTACCTCTGTATGCGTGTGCGCTCTGTCAGCAGGATGTGGAGGAGTTTAAATCCTGCTCAGGGTCAGACGTGTCGGGTAACCATGACAGCGAGAGGACATCACTGAGTGAAATATGTTTCCAGAAGTTTCTGAGTGATTGAACTCAAACTGCTGTGTTTATCTTCTAAAATCAAGTTTGTCATTAAAAGTTTGGAGCATTTCCTGCTCTGTTGTGGACGGCACGCCTGCAGCGCTGCAGAGCTGCAGAGCTGCAGAGCTGCAGCGCCTCCACACCGGTTGTTCTGTGCGAGCATGCAAACGACGCACGCTAACAAACCTGTTTGTGTACTTTGGATTAACTGCAGCGTGCGCGCTCCGTCCTGTTTGCATGCTGAGCCTTAGCGTCGGGTTTCACTTACGCTGTCGTTTAACCAAAGAGCCGCGAGGTTCCAGTCTGACCTGTGACCGCCGCTGCAGCGTCTGTTAAACGGCGCCGTTTTAACCTCTGACGCCGCCTCTTTGTCTCTTTCAGTCTCTCTCAGTCCGAGCTCGGCCACGTTAAAGGCCAACACCATCCTGAGCACCAAACCCCCCATCCAGCCCCGACCCGTGTGCGTCGCCACCCTCCCCATCTCCCAGACCGCCACGCCGGCCAAGGCGCTCATACTGCAGGGCCTCCCCTCCATGGACCAGACCAGACCTGGTAACAACATCCTGTTTCTTCCTTTACTAATCCTTCTGTTTATTTCCTTTCCCATCACCGTTTCTTTTATACATATCTACTTTTATGTTTCATATCTAAATAATTTAATTTATTATTATTATTATTATAAGTTAATATATTAATTTATTTCTGCCTTTGCTTTTCGTGGCGTTTCACTTTGTGCAGCTGATTTAATAACGTAGTCGGGGAATGAGTGATGACGGAGGGATGCTGGAGTCCGACCTTTAACCTTCCTAAACAGTCATGTGTTCAGTTCTCGTGTGTCGAGGATGCTCTGAGCGGATTCGTCTTCATCTTCTCCTCTTCCTCCTCCAGTCGTCATCTCTCCGTCCGTCTGCCTCGGCTCCACGCCGGCCATCGTCAAAATGGAGCCCGTCTCTCCCAGCATCCCCCAGCACTGCTCCAGCCCCACGGCCCCGCCCACCAGCAAACCCATCGTCCCGGCGACCACGACTTTGCCCGGCAACAGCTCGAACGGCATCGATGTGAGTACAGCACTGACGTTACAGCCAGTACCCACAATTCCTCACTCTGAGCCTGTGAACGGATTACATCACACAACTTTCACACAGCTCCTCCTCTTCTTCCTGTCCTCTCTTTTTAACTTCCTCCTTCCTGTTTCCCTCACTGACCACCTCCTCCTCCTCAGATGAAAGTGCTGAAGCGGCAGCAGAGGATGATAAAGAACCGTGAGTCGGCCTGCCAGTCGAGGAAGAAGAAGAAGGAGTACCTGCAGAACCTGGAGGCTCAGCTGAGGGAGGCCCAGCAGGAGAACGAACGGCTCCGCAAGGAGAACCAGGCACTGAGGGAGAGACTGGCAGGGAAGGAGGTGAGACTCCAAGAAACATCACAACACACGAGTGAAAGGTTTGATGGAAACCGCGCGTGAACCGTTCTGCCTGCTGTTAAACTGTAAACGCCGGGAGCAGCAGGACAGCAGCGGACACACCGGTTGGTGGAGTCCTGCGAGCTGGACGTTCTGGTTGTTCGTGTTTTCCCTCTCAGCTCTTCAGCTTCACGCCATTCCTCAGCCTTGTGATAAGGATCTGATGCGTGACAGCAGCATCAGAGCGCCAAGCGTGGCGTTCAGCGTAATGTCGCTTAACCTGCTGCTGAGTGAGGAACGTTCTGTGAGACGCAGCGTCTCTGCGTAACGACACTGAATGATCTGCTGAGGGAGCCAAAACCACCAACAGGAAGTAACTGAGACAAAAGGGGAGGAGTCAGACGAATAAGAACAGAGTCAGATGGACCTGCTGCATCAGCGTTCAGGGTCATTCTCTCATCGTGTTCGTGTCATTTCAGGGCGCCGAATCAGCGAGTAACAAGAGAGCCGTGTGCGTCATGGTCGTCCTCCTCTTCATGACCTTCAGCTTCGGACCCGTCAGGTATCGTTTGCGACTCGTCGTGAAAATATTTGCCGCCGCAGATGTCGGCGCCGCTTTTGATCAGCACGTTCTGTTCTGCATCACAGCATCACAGACAGGAAGCTGGCGACGGGTCTGCACGAAGACGTGGTGTCGTTTACAGGACGGCGGCTGCTGGAGATCGAACAGCACCAGCAGGCGCCGCCGCCGCTTACCAACAAGGTGGAGGACAAGACGGAGACGGAGGAGGACGGAGGAGACGAGCGATGGAAGAGAGCGGAGGCGAAATACGCCGCAGAGCCGTATCAGTTCAGGTGAGAGGAAGCTGATGTCGGCGTTTTGTGACATCACTGCGACTGTCGGCTTTGAGTGTTTGTGCTGCCATCACACCACAGGAGCAGCTCTGAATACAGAGCGCTTCAGCAGAGGCGGAGCTTTATCACACAGAGAGGTCAGGGGTCAAACACCCAGCCACAGCAGCACCAACACACACACACACCCACTGATACACCAGTGGGTGTGTGTGAAAGTGTCCACGCTGTCACAGTTATCAGCTGACAGACACGTTTAACAGAAGCCCGCCTGCATCAGACCGTTTCTCCACACTGAAACAAACGTGTGTGTGTGCGTGCGTGTGTGCGTGTGTGTGTGTGCGCGCGTGCGTGTGTGTGTCCGCGTGTGCGTGCGTGTGTGTGTGTGTGCAGAAACCTGAGCGACGTGTTCAGTGATGTGAAGGACCTGGTTCTGCAGGACATCGACCGTTACTTCACCTCCTCTGACTGCCGGCAGTTCAACCGCTCCGAGTCTCTCAGGTGAGTCTGACTGTGTTAGGATCTCCACGCTGGCGCTGTGGCTCGCGCTGATGTGAGGAGCTGCAGCTGTATTTAAACCTTCCTGCTTCTGTTTCTTTGCTTCCTCTGAATCTTGCAGGCTGGGGGACGAGCTGAGAGGATGGGTCCATCGACACCAGATCGATCGCAAGAAGTCCGGAAAGCCGAAGATGGCCAAGAAGGCCAAAGTCGCCCAGGTGAGGAGTCGTCTTCATCTCCCAGAGTTTTAATCCTTTAATGGAGAACAGTAGTTGGTCTTCAGCTCACTGGGATCTGTGTTTTGTGTCACTTGTGTCTCGTTCTGCAGCAGAAAGCTCAGCAGAGGAAAACCAACTTCTCCAGATATCTGCCGATCCAGACTCACCGCTCCATAGAAAGGTACGACGCGCTCTTCATCGCCGAGCGCAGACCTGCTGATGGTGCAGCAGTCAGCCTCAGCAAGTCAGACAGGAAGTGACATACATGAGCATCGTTTAAAGAGTCTTTAAAAACATCCAAAGCTTAAATCGCTGAATGTTTCTGTGCTGCTGAAACTGTTATAAAATATTTGTGCTGATTGTTTAAAAAAAACAACTTTTATTATAACGTGAGCTCATGTTAGCTGAGAAACACTTTTGCTGTGTTGTTGCATTAATGTTGGTTACTGTCCAGCCTGATGAGTCTCTCCCTGCTGCAGTCAGCTGCAGGTGCTTCCTGGTCCTGAGGTCACCTACAGCGACTTCCTGGACGCCATCGACCGCAGAGAGGACACGTTCTACGTGGTCTCGTTCAGACGGGTATGACGCACGCACACACACACACACACACACACACACACACACACACACAGCAGGCTCTCACAGCTGTGCGTGTTAAACGGCGTGTCTTCCTGCAGGATCACCTCCTGCTTCCAGCCATCAGCCACAACAAAACCAGCCGGCCCAAGATGTCCCTGGTGATGCCGGCCATGTCTGTAAACGGTGAGTGTGCACGCTGTGGCGCGACAGGCTGCAGTGCAGCTGTGAATCACTCGGCGAGTGCCGCCGTGCACAGCTGACTCGGTCACGGCGGCCCAGCGAGCGCCGCGCCCTCATGGTGAAGATAAAAGGCTGTCATTGGCTCAGCTGCTGTTCTTCTCCTTATTGATACAGCTGTCCTGATGATGATGATGATGGTGGTTACTGTTATTATCATTAACCAGCCGCTCTTCCTCCATCTCCCTCCTCTTCCTCAGAGAGCCTCTATAACTCATCTCAAGGCTACGAGATGATGATGCAGGTCGACTGCGAGGTCATGGACACTCGGATCGTCCCCATCAAGTCGTCCGCCGTTCCCCCCTCGCTTCGAGACCCACCCCCCCTCCCCCCTCCTCCCACGGCAGCTCCAACCATCACCACAGCAACCACACCTCACTCCGAGGACGCCACCAGCACCAGCACCACCCCTCCTCTTCCTCTCCGTCTCAGAGGCAGCCTTTACCCGCCCGCCGACGGACAGCTGAATACTTAATCAGCCAATCAGAAGGAGTCTGAAGGTCGGAGGTTAAAGGTTGGAGAAAGACTTGAAGTATAACCTCACTGTCCCTGCACCAGGTAACGGTTCCTCCTCCAGCAAACAGGAAGCTCCTCTCCGCACACAAGTCGAGTTTCCTGCCGTTTCCCAAAAGGTGAAAATTCAAGAAAACAAATTGAACTTGAGGACGTCCCACAAACGCCAGCATGTTTGTAAGAACGACAGCGGCGTGCATGCTGCGTTTTAATGTTTAACAGCGAGAACGCAGCGTGGAGAAGCTGCTCCATGAAGCGCCCACAGCCACACATCTGTCACCTAAGCTCCGCCTTCTGTACCTCATAATTCAGACAGAGGACGAGCTGAGCTTCTTCTTTCACGTACAAACAGGAAGTCTGTTCTAATGCTCTGAAAGATCCGAGTAAACGTCAGAAATAAACTTTACAGAATAAATTCAGCTCATTTACAGGATCAAGTGTAACGTTCATCCTTCAGAGACACCGAGCACAGCGCTGAGACGTTAACCGGCGCCAGCGTGTTTTTCACGTTTTAGTGAGTCGTAATTATGAGATACAGAAGCCCAGAGGAGCTGCAGCGCCTCTCAGCTGTCAGTCCGGCAGCTGCTGCATGAAGCAGGAGCCGCAAAGATGTGACGCCGTCCGTACGGCGCGAGGTGTGGCATCTAAAATATCGCCAGCAAAAAGCCAAACCAATGAAATTCCACTGAGAGTGAAACAAAAGCAGCTCGTTTGGTACTTTTGGGTTTTCTGTGGTACAGCAGTGAAATCGTTTCTGCGTCGTGCGTCAGCCGTCGCCTTTATCAATGTTTTGTTTTTTATGCTTGTTTTGGAGCAGTTATTTAATAGTTGTAAATATGAGTGTAGATATCTTGTCACCTTTTTACTTTTTCTAATTTTTGTTTTTTCACAACAAAAAGTAAAAAAACAAAGAAAAATATTTTGTATTTGTCGGACGGTCTGGCGTGACTCTGTGCTGGTCGTTTGAACTCGGGATTATCTCCTGATCTAAAATATTTATGGATATATATGCAGATTTTTGATCTTTATTATTGTACAGAATTAACGTGTAGAAAACTTCATACAGTTTGTTTTATTGTGAAAAATCTTGGCCTGTTCTGCTCACTTCCTGTCTTTTTTTTTTTTTTTTAAGTTTAGACTCTAACAGAGCAGCTTTGCATGATCCACAGTTCATAATAATCCTTCTTTATCTGATACGGGGCCAGTTTATCCTCTGTGTGGAAAAATAAAAAGCTGCTTTGGCCACTCCCCTTTAACCTTTCTTTTGAGTTTTGGGTGGGGCTTCTGTGGCTGAGATGACCATATTAGGGATGCTTTCTTTGTGACATCATCCAGAGCCACAAGGAGAAAAAAAACTGCTGAAATTTTCCATTTGAGCTCCTGGATCATAGGACGATTGTCCATTAGTGCACATATGCTTGTGTTTACCACGAGCACGGAGGGCGGGGCAAGAGACCTGGCGGATGAAAGCAACCCCCAAATGTACAGAATAGCTCCGGCCCGCTGAGCCGACGGTGTGACTTGTTTTTGAGTATGTACAAAATTTTCAATCGTTTAAAAAGTTTAAAGCGCCCAAGTTTCACCCATCAGGGTCACGTTTGCTCAGCATTATGGGAAATGTAGGATCTGCAGCCTTTCTTACAGTGAACATGTGGGAAAACCTCCTCCTGTGTTAATGTCGTTTCACTTCATGGTGTTTTCCTTTCATACTGATGTTACTCTTCATGTGTGCAGAGAGGAACGTGGAGGATATGAAGGTAAACTTTTCCTTTTAATGGTGGTTTGAGTTTTAAAACACCGATGGAGCAGAAAAACGAGATTTGTCAGCTGCTCGTTGGTTCTTTCACACACAGTCGGCTCATGTTTCACTTCCTGGTTTCTGTAATCTGAAAACGCACTGAAAGCTGTTACTGAACCTTTGGGGTGCTTGTTGATCAGCTGGCATTATGACATCACGCATTTAGATAAATCCTCAGGAAATGTTCTGGTTTGTGTCTGTTCATCACAAAAATGACGTTTGCATTCTAAATGTGGTTCAGACGTAGTTTTATTCAAAACTCCGACCTTTGACCCGCTTTAAGAGCCACCGTCTGCTCTGCAGCCTGTTCTTGTACAAACCAGATTGTGAGCTCGCTGAAGCTGCACATATGAAAATGTAAACTGTCCTTTTTTATGTAAAGGGAATAAAATCATGAATGTGTAAATATTTCACAGGCTCCTGCTGATTGGTCGCTGCCTTCATGTTAGCAGGAAATGAATCAGAATCAGACGGCTGAAGGTTCAGAGCCGCGAGCTCCGAGGAAGCCGGAAGACTCACTGACCCCTCACTGACCCCTCACTCACTGACCTTTCACATCACAGACTCAAAGGGGACTTTTATTTTTCTCACTGCTCACACTGGATTTTTAAAAAAAAATTAATTGTTCACATTTAATTTCATAAGTCAGGGAGAAAAGAAAGCAGGTTGAGGAGCAGACAGGAGAAAAGTCTGTCCATCCAGCAGAGGGCGCCAGAGTGCTGCAGACTGACACTTCATGAAAGAAGAACACTGACGGAGGCTTTACCTGTGCAGGTGAGGAAGCTCAACCTGAAGAGACGACCTGCCTGTAGCAGACTTGAGTCACAGCGCAGACACGGAGCAGTGAGGTGGCGCTCCCTCAGGCATGAATACACGTGTAGTGAAAGGCGGGGCCGCCTCACCTGCTTAGATTACAAAAACAATCAAACACTTAAAGTCACCTGTCATAGGAGACAAAGACTGCAGCAGCATGGGGTCATCACTCAGTCACATGACCTGCTGTGATGTTTAGTTTCGCCTCAGTTTCAGAGATCAAAACTCAAAATGTGTCAGTTTGATGGTCCGTTAATGTGAAAAACTACAGATGGAAGAATCTGAAGACATAAAGATGAAATATTTTTAAGCTTCCCTCTAAATTCAGATCTAATACCTGGGTCGTGTTTGTGGTTTCCTCATGACGGCCGTTTCGTGCAGACTGAATAGATGCTGAGCACTTCAGCGTGCTGATGCTTCAGGCTTATCTGGCACGCAGTCCCAGCGTGGATGTTTATTTGCTCGTTCAGTGAGACGCTGTGTTTATAATGGAAAATCGTCCACATGCAGTGTTCGCATATACAGCTCCCTGTTACAGGATAATCAGGACAAACTAATTCTTTATTCTTTAAGACGTTTCCTGACTGGCTGTAAACAGATAATACTCGTAATTACCAGCCTGTTAAAAAACAAACAGCAATTAAAGGAGTAAAAGGAGAATTTACTGGCTCGGGGTGACAGCCGGCCGCCTGTTTGTTAGCAGTGTTTGTGTGGGAGACAGTTGTGTGACGCGGTAGTCGCACACAGCTGAAGGAGAATCTGTTTTGGTGGAACTCTGCTGTGTGAGGTCGACTTTGGGCCGGCCGTCCAGACGGAAGTCTTCACAAAACATCATCCAATCCTGAGCCACGCTCGGTCAGTGGACGTGACCGAGCGTAAAAGCAAAGAATCGAGCTCCCGATCAGCACGTGGAAGCATCCAGCCATGAACCAAACACCAGTCATGTTTATAACCACATTTTAAAGACGTTTCTGCAGGACTGAGGCTCAGTGAAAGCTGCTGGTGATGTCGCAGAGCTCTGTGTGCGCGCTGCTGTTAAACAGCTGTTTAGTTTTGTTTCTGACATTTGGGGCAGAGCTCTGTGAAGAGCCGAAGCTTTAGCACCACGTCCACAACGCAAATAAACTATCAGAGCCGCGGGCACAAAGTACGACTCTTTATACCAGCACAGCTGCTTTCTTCTCCAAACGTCTGAGAGGGAAGCGCCTGCATACGCATCAGGTAGGCTGTGAACACACCTGCGGCCACACCTGTCAGGCAGCAGTTTACACCTCCAGCAGAGCGTCCCGGGCTGCCAGCTCTGGACTCGACCCTCAAACAGAAGCTTTTGTCTGTAACTGAGACGTGCTGGCGTGAACGTAGACCGGGAGGAGCAGCAGTCCTGACATGAAACAGGCTGCAAAAATCATTAAGGCCAAAAACACATTGAGACTGTGAAGGTTTGAAGATGAGCCCCGACCTTCCCCCTCATTCAAAGTGCTGTTTGTAAAACTCTGTGCACCAGATTTCATTCAGTCTGATCCTTGTCTGCGCTCTGAGATCACGGGTCTACATCCCATCATAGCTGCCGGCCTCAGACGGAGCAGCTTAACAGTCGCTCGTATAAACCGCAGAGCACAGTTTGTCTCGTCCTGAGTGAAAGTCTTTTATAGACGGAGCGAGGCCGGAGACGCCAGGACAGACGTGTTTTAGTGTCGGCGCGAGTGACGTCTTCGTCCATCTCCGAGGCTTCAGATGAAAAACTCATCAGGCTACCAGACGCAAGACGACAGTTCGTAGTCCCGAGTTTCCGAGTCCATCGCGAGTGTTTCCAGCGAGCAATAATATGAAGGTCAGCGAGAGGAACGAAGCGAGGAGGGAATGAAAACACACGGCAGTTTGTTTTATGAGGGACTCCTGCAAACCTCAAGGACGTGCACACGGCGTCACGAGATGACATCGACCCCGTGGTGCTGACGGCCCGAGGCCCGGCGTTCTGCCCGTCGCAGCAGGTGTCTCACCTGCCAGAGACGCCAAAGACGAGCCGAGCTCACGGTCTCTGGCTGCGATTTAAAGGAGGGGAGGAAAGAGAGGTGCAGTGGAAACAAGGCAGCGAGTGTCTGGCAGCTGACGCGTGTAAATCGGTGCTAATCTGGTCCTGCGGCTTTAAAGAGGAAAGTCGTATTTTCTCTTTGCCTGCCTCGCAGAACAAAATCATCCGTCTGCAGGAGGCTGAACGTAACTGCACAGTAATCCAGACCAGACCTGGAAGTGTGCAGAAGCATCAGCATCGACCAAACACCAACCAGTCCACATAAAACACCATCAGATTGAAATAATAATGGTTTAGGGTACGTGGGGAGTCTTTTGATGCTTCCTGCATCGTGTCATGGTTCAGTCATCATGTTTCTCTGAACCTCACAAAGTGTTTTGTTGCCTAAACCTTTATAGAACCACTAGGATCTCTGAGTGTTTCCCAGGTGGGCGTGGCTCTCCCCCCGTCGGGGTGCCGGGCACACCTGTGCTCCATCAGCTCACAATCAGAGCCAGTATTTAAGGAGCAGCTGCAGCAGCCTCTCCTCACCAGACTGCCTGCTGCTTTCTGATGGTAGCGTTTGTGCGCCGTGTCGTTATCTCGATGTCTTGCCTCTCCTGTGCTGACCTTGTTGTCTGCAGGTTACCTTGGCCTGGGCTCAGAATCCACTATGTTACCTGTTTCGCTCACCTGGTCCCTCGTTGCCTTTTTCGTCCCTCGTCGTGGCTCGTGTCTGAACCTGACCTTCAGTTCTGCACGAGCCTACCCTCCTGGACTCCCTGGACTCTCAGACCCTGGACGGATTCACGCCGAGCATCCTTCCCCTTGACAGGATCAGTGCTCCCCGTTCCCCAGTAAGTTATCACGTGTCACTCCCACTAATACTGTCACGGTCTGGGGGGCAGACCGTGGGGGATGTTGGAGAAAGGACCCAAACGCTGGACTTAATGAAATGAACAGTGGGTTTATTTACAGTGAGGTAAATGTACACCACACATTGAATCTCCAAAAGTGCTCCCTCGACTCCCGTGACGTGTCTTCTCCCAAGTGCTGGTATCCCGTGCTCTCTGCCCCTGTGCCTTCACACACCCCGTGTGTCTTGCAGTCCTGTGTTCCACTCTCCTGAGGAAAAAACACAGACACAGCCGTTATGGCACCAACTCCAGCAGGCATACACTGACCAGCACTACAAACACTGACATGGAGTCTAACTCAACGATCCTGCGCCCGAGGAAGCTCCATCGCTCTGTTAAGTAGCTCCCCCGACGATCCTGATCAGAAGCAGGTGTGTGGTAAGCTAGGCGTGACCAGCAGCTGGCAGGGCCACACCCATCAGGCCTGCAGGTGGCTGTCCTTCATCCTCCAGCCTCACACACATACACACACCAGCATTGAACACAAGAGCACAGTGCAGCAAACATACATCCAATACACTAATAACAATAAAGGTCCACACTGTTCACGAACCCCGAGTCCCCGGAACCGGGTCCGTGACAAATACACCTGCTCAATTATCAGCTGACCCCGGTGGATCCACAGAGGTGCCTGTTCTCTCTCTGCGATCACCTGATGCTCCAAACATTTGTGTTGTAAAGCTTTGAGTCCAGGTTTTACTACGGCCGGCGTGGACCTCGATGTTTGTAGCTGATGGTCACGCCGGCACGTGCGTGCATCCATGTGGGCAAACGCCATCGATGATTTCACAGCTTCTGTTTCCTGCCAGCAGTGACGACACTATGAAATCATCCAGCTGTTGTTGTTTTCTGGGTAATCTGAAGCCTGGGCCGGCGCTGGAAACTCTGTCGTTGTTTTGATCGCTCGGTTTAATCAGTGTGGACGTAACTCGATCTAATTTTCACCCACAGTGGACGTAAATCCAGATGTGGTTTGGTTTTCTGATGATGATGAAGTAGGAGGAAGGAGCAGCTCTGGCAGTTCGAGCTGCAGTGGAAAAATAAAAAAGGAGACGAGGATTTTATTTGACGGTAATCTGCAGAGCCGCACGCTCGTCCTCTGGAAACGTCCTCCCAATTCTGGTGGCGATGCGTGAGGCGCTGCTGCTGATTGGAGCGTTTAATACGAGCAGATGAAAAGAGCGGAATCGTAGCGGGATGGGTCGAGTTTAGCCCGGAGCCGGGCCCACGGGATGGAGACGTTTATTCCAGCCTGAAATACGGCGTCATGATGGAAACGAGCAGCTGCTACACGATGACTCAGAGTGAAAGTCACAGTGAATCAGGGGTTCTGGGAGAAGCTGGCAAGCATTTGTCCTAAAGTAGAGACAGATGAGACAAACTGGGAATACTGGGAATATGAATCTGTGACATCAGCTTCCTCTGTGGGTTTTACTGTTGGAGCCAACCTGCACATTAAACACGTCAACAACAGTGAATGATAAATCTGTTAACTTTAATTTCAATACTAAACAGAACTGACGAGATGAACCGTGTGCTTCAACTTCCCAGTCTGAGTCTTTTCCTCCTCATATTCCAGCCGTACGCACACAGCACAGCTCTGCTACGGACACAGAGTCCCTGTCACAGCACGCCTCCACTCCTGTGGATATATTCACAGCACATCTGTATATAATCTGCTCTCTGCACTTCTGATTGGATGAAACTGAAGCTAAAACTAAACCCTGTCTCAGACCTGGTGACTCGCTGGTCAGTGACAAAGCTCACGGGAACCTTTAGCTGAATAACTTTTACCTGGTGCATGTTGGGAGCAAAGCAATCCCAGCAGTCCCAGTGCTTCTTCCACTCAGGACGGCCTCACTGCACCGATCTCTGCACCTACGACTGCATGAGTTTGTGCTGGTGACAGATCCACTGTGTGCAGGTATGCACATCCCCACATTCGTAGTTGATATGAATGAGACTGGGACTTAGTCGTGTGTCAGGACTGCAGTAGATGCAGCAGCATGAATGTCAGAGTCCTTTCAGTCAAACTGATGCTGTGATGAGGCTGGTGGAGTCTGCGCCCGTGTGGGACTAGTTTGTGTTTGTGGACCGACTGGTTCTTCGGGG